AGGTTGCCTTGGGCCTTGGATGAGCACTGGCATCATAATAAACTTATGCTTCATGCATAACCAGGGAGGAAGGTTGTAGATACATAGAGTAACAGGCCAAGTGCTATGACTACTGTTCTGCTCCTAGAAAGGATTCATACCATCCATACTTAAAGCAAACCTTAAGTTTCTTGCGTCATTTGCAAACTCTGGGAATTCTCTATCGATCGCTCTCCACTGGGACCCATCAGTAGGGTGTCCCAACATATTGTCTACCTTACGGTCTTCTTTGTGCCATCGCAACAACTTTGCATGGTCTTTGTTTCTGAACAGATGTTTCAAGCGTGGTATTATAGGAGCATACCATATAATCTTGGCAGAGATTTTCTTCGTGGGACGTTCGCCCTCAACATCACTAGGGTCATCTCGCCTGATCTTATACCGCGATGCATGACATTCCGGGCATACATCTAACTTCTCGTACTCCTCGCCATGATAGAGGATGCAGTCATTAGGACATGCATGTATCTTCTGGATTTCTAATCCCAAAGGGCAGACTACCTGTTTTGCTTCGTACGTAGTGGCGGGCAATTCATTATCCTTCGGAAGCATCTTCTTTTGGATTTTCAGTAACTCCCCAAATCCCTTATCAGATACACCATTCTTTGCCTTCCATTGCAGCAATTCCAGTGTGGTACCCAACTTTTTCTGCCCTGCATCACAAGTTGGGTATAGTAATTTATTGTGATCCTCTAGCATGCGCTCGAACTTGATCTTCTCCTTTTCACTTTCGCATTCTCTTTGTGCGTCACGAATGGCCTGACCAAGATCATCAGCGGGCTCATCTTCTGCCCCTACCTCTTCTTCAGCTTCCCCCATTGCAGTATCATTGAAGGCACCATATTCAGCAATAATGTCATCATTGTCCCATTGTTCTTCTTCACCTTCTTCCATTATAACCCCGGTTTCTCCGTGCTTCGTCCAACAAATATAGTTTGGCATGAAACCCGACTTCAACAAGTGTGAATGAAGACTCCTTAAGCTAGCACATTCCTTCAAATTCTTACATATGGCACATGGGCAGCATATGAAACCATCGCGTTTGTTTGCCTCGACCACACGTAAGAAAGAATGCACGCCCTCAATGAACTCTTGGGAGCGGCGGTCAGCATTGTACATCCAATGCCGGCTCATCTGCATTACATGACATACATACCATATTAAAACCTAGAACATAATTAGTTAATTATACGACATGCATGTCACCACACAAGGTATTAATTTATGAAAGTCTCGCTACAATGTAGACAATCCCAACTACCACTAAAAAAACTAAAGCTAAAATGCACTTTAGCAGCATAAGGATTTCGCGACCAATTCTAACTAAAACAGACAGATCATGCATTTGTTCAACATATATGGGCTTCTTCCACAGGATCACTGCCTCATCAGCCGCCATAGCTGCCTGTGCAAGAGAGTTTTGCACGTGTTCAACATACTCTTCCTCCCAGTACCAGCCTGAACATCCAGTGCCATCCCACTGAAATTAAAACAAAAAATTAGAACTTTAATCACAATCATCATGAAAATAAGTATAAATTAACCATAATCATCAAATACGACAAAATAACTCACATTGCGATCCGGACACTTGTAGAAGATATGACCCTTGTTGGGACACTCCTTCCTCACCCGGTACTCCATCACAATCTTCTCCTCACACTTGCCGCATGAAATGAGAGGGAGGTCCGGCCTCAGTCGCTTTGGAACCCGATGAGAGGCCGAGGACCCGGAAGCAGTTGCCATCTACTCTCTATACTCATTTTTAATATAATATAAATTTCTCATTTTATAAACAAATAAAATTAAAAAAACTCTAAAATTCTCTATATCTCTAAACCATGAAGTGTGCTATGCATGCTAGAAATGAAAGTTGAATACTAGTTTTGAATAACTACTTTAACCACTACCGGACACCCTCTCTTTGCCGAGTGCCTGCCCGAAATACACTCGGCAAAGCCTTTGCCGAGTGTCGCACTCGGCAAAGGGCACTCGGTAAAAAATTAATCGGCAAAGAAGCCTTTGCCGAGTGCTTTTTGTCGGGCACTCGGCAAAGCCTTTGCCGAGTGCCGGAAAAGCACTCGACAAAGATTTACACTCGGCAAAATGAAAATGTGAAAAAAAAAACTCAAAAATAATAGCAATTTTTTTTTCGGGGGAGGCCGCCACCGGCCTGCGCCCGCCTGTCTCCATCGAAGTCGCTGCATTTTTTGCGCAAAATTCGCGGCTAACGCAGCCGGTGGGATTCGAATTCACGACCTCTCCCTCGCGTGTCTGCTTCTCTACCACTACACTACACTGTCACTTATGTCTAGATTCCGTTATCTATCCTCATATATTATACTAAACCGAGAGTAAATTGCTTGTTTGAGGCCCTAAACGAATTCAAATCAAAAAGTGTTCAACTATAAAGTTTCATAACTTTTCGAGATCTACAATTTTTATTTAGGAAGTTTTTCTATCCGAGGTCGTTTGAAAAATTCGAATTTCAAATTTGAGAGATTCAAACGTAGTTTTGCATGATAAGATGATTTCAAATCAAAAAGTTGTCAACTACATAGTTTCATAACTTTTGGAGATCTACAATTTTCATTTAGGAAGTTTTGCCATCCGAGGTCTTTTGAAAAATTCAAATTTTAAAATTTTCAAATTCAAACGTTGTTTTTGCATGACAAGATGATTTCAAATCAAAATGTTGCCAACTACAAAATTTCATAACTTCTCAAGATCTACAAAGTTTATTTTGGTTATTTGTTCATCCGACATAGTGGTAGTAACATTGTTCACAAATCTTATATATCTCTCTTCTACTTTCATGAAACTAATATGAGAGATATGAGAGAGATGTAGATTTTATGAACAACGTTATTGTCGCTTTGTCAAATGAAGAAATGACCAAAATAAACTTCGTAGATCTTGAGAAGTTATACAACTTTGTAGTTGAAAAGTTTTTCATTTGAATTCATTTAGGGCCTCAAAAATTGCTTTGAAAAAATGATTTGCCGAGGGGTAAAAAAAATGCACACGACAAAATGCCTCTTTGCCGAGTGCCAAAACAAAGGCACTCGGCAAAATACATCTTTGCCGAGTGCCAGCAAAAGGCACTCGGCAAAGACGCATTTTGCCGAGTGCCGAAAAATGGCACTCGGCAAAATACATATTTGCCGAGTGCCGAAACAAAACACTCGGCAAATCCATCTTTGTCGAGTGTTTTTTTTTGCCGAGTGTATTTTATTTGGCACTCGCAAAGACCGTCTTTGCCGAGTGCCCGATAAAATACACTAGGCAAAGCCTCCGGCACTCGGCAAAGTGCCAGTTTCCGGTAGTGAAGCTTCCTTCATCCAAATATGCAAACTTTAAAGTGATTTTGAGCTTAAATGGCTTACAAATAAAAAAATCCACCATAAAAACCACATATATCTAGTCCACAAAATGAGATATGCTACTGATGAAACATGAGAGTATAAAGTTGGTAACCTATCGAACCGAAGAATCGATAGAGGAATCGAAGAAATCTTGTGATTACCGGCGATGAGGAAGAAGAGAGGTCGGCGATGAAGCAAGAACACTGAGCTCGAAGTGGCTCGGGCTCGGGGAGGAAGAAAGGGTATATAGGAGGGGACCATTAGTCCTGGTTGGAGACAGCAACCAGAACTAAAGGTCCATTTCTAGTCCTGGACGGAGCCTCCAGCCGGGAGTAGACTTTTACTCCCGGTTGGAGGGACCAACCGGGAGTAAAAGTTAACCTTTAGTCCCGGTTAGTAGCTCCAACCGGGACTAAAGGTCCCCTGCAGCAAAAGTCTGCCGCAGTATCTATTGGGCAGGGACCTTTAGTTCCAGTTGGAGCTACCAACCGGGATTAAAGGTTTCTCTAGTCCTAGGCGCGAAAAATACCGGGACTAAAGCCAAATTTTGAAGTGGATCAAAAGTCGTTTCTCTAGAACAAGGAGACTATGGTATACTTTGACAGCGTGTGTGATCATGCCTAATATGATAATTGAGAATGTGAGAAATGAAGACAATGTTGGGCGCTAGGACAATGATCAAGATGTGGGGGTAAGAAGCCGAGGGAGGAGGAATACCAATGCCGTAATCCACTTGTGTTGTCAGAGTTTTTCAAGATATACAGGGAGATTGAAGATAAAGAGGGACATGAGAAATTTTGAAACGATCTTGTGGAACATCTATTGTTTAATTGTTTTGGTAGACTTCATTTGTGTTGGATTATGTCATTTGATTTGATGAGATGTCATGAACTATATATGTCACAATGGACTATATCATTAAATTAGGACTAAATTTGAACTTTAATTTAAATTTGAACATTCATGCATAAATTTAAATATGGTTTCTTCATAGTAAAATCATAAATAATTTATTATTTATTGTGGTGTTGCCAAATGCATATGTACAGACGGTGAAAATATATGGAGTAAATGTCCTGATCTAAAAAATAAGAGAGCCTTGAAATCAATGTCAATGGCTCTGATTTGAGGGCTTCCTTGGAGTTGCTCCGATGTAAGCAAACAGGATCCGTGGTTGGGCTGCCCCTGCATCTGCATGTGAGGTGTGAGCTCAGCCTGACGTAGCGTGCGAGCGGTCAACGGTCTCCGTCGTCTTCAATCCCTTCCGTGCGGACGGACGCCATACGTACGGATGCAGACATAGCCTGATGATAGCCAGAAGGGAAGGACGTCGTGCTCGTGCATGCATGCGGATGGAGAAAAACGCTCTGGCTTCTCAAACAAACTCTCCCAATGGCAAGCCAACCACTGGTGTGTGTCTACCCTCCCCATGTCGTCGTCGCCGTCTCCTTCGCTATTCGATATGTATATAAATAGACGTCTTCCTCTGCCCCTGCACGCCGATCGATCGATCGATCGGTTAGCTTATTTGCCTCTCGTCGTCAATAACCAACCGACCACCACCGCCGTACCAATTCAAGCAAGCGCGCGGCCGCCATGGCACAGGAGTGGAGCGACGTCGTCGTCAAGTGTGCCACCAAGGCCGCCACAAGCGACGAAGACGGGGCCGCCGTCGCTGCCGCGGTGGCGCCCCCGGGGCCGGCAGCCAGCGCCACTGCCACGCCCTTCAAGTTCAACGTGCACGCGCCGGAGTTCGTGCCCATGTCGCCCGCCGCCGCCAGCCCCATCGCCAGCCCCATGTCGGCGCCGGCGAGGGGCTACTACTCGCCCTTCATGCAGATGCAGCCGGGCCTCTCGCCCGCCGACTGGAGCTTCTTCCATGACCACGAGCCCGTGTTCTTCATGCCCGACTTCGCGCACGCCAAGTTCGGCGCGGCCACGGCCACCGCCGCTGCTGTTGGGAGCAACAGTGCTCAGGCCAAGGGGACCGCCGCCACCACGGACGTCGCACAGAAGATTGTCAAGCAGGTAGGTGCCTGTTCTGCCTTTTACTAATGTCACGCATGATGAAATTAAACTCTGATGCAATGCATGCATGCAAGTGACCAACAAGTAAGTTCATTCGCTGCTCCTTTTGCACTTGGACACATACACAGGTTGAGTACCAGTTCAGCGACATCAACCTGGTGGCAAACGAGTTCTTGCTCAAGATTATGAACAAAGACACAGAAGGCTATGGTAAGTAGTATAGCAGTACCAGCTACGAGATAGTCTGCATGCTAGTCTCCCAGATTAGAGATTGTGTCACAATGTCAGTTAGACTGATGACACATCTATCCTAGCTAGAAAGAAGGCCAATAATGTTCAGTTCAGGCTGCATTCTCAAATTAAGTGATGGAACAATGAAACCTTGTTGCATTGTCTTGTCCAGTTCCCTTGTCAGTCATTGCATCCTGGAAGAAGATCAAGTCCCTTGGGGCAACCAACCAGATGCTGGTGAAGGCTCTTCGCACCTCCACAAAGCTTGTAAGCAGCAGCCCATGTCTGTAAATGTGAAATGAAACCCTGCTGGCCTCGTATCATAGATCGAACTTGGTTCCTTGTGCAGAATGTCAGTGACGACGGCAAGAAAGTCCGGCGCAGGCAGCCATTCACGGAGAAACACAAGGAAGAGCTTCAGGTCAGTTTGTCAGTGGCTTGGCTCTTCAACTTGAAACGTGTCCTCCGATAGTCCTACATCTCTGAGTTCTGATCAGCAAGCATGCAGTAAACAATAATAATACACAACTGAAACTCGTGTTAAATTCCTGCAGTCCCGCATGATCATAGCGGAGAATTTGCCAGAGGACTCGTCTAGGAACAGCCTCGAGAAGATCTTTGGCGTTGTCGGCAGGTCAGTAAGGCACACAAACAATTACTACTACTCAAACTGCACACCACACAGCATGGGTTTCAGATACATACAGTAATGCATGCAGCTAACACTGACAGAATGCATGCATGCATGTAAGAGATGAACTAACACTGAGTGCCATGCAATGCATGTACCTGTTGATGCATGCATGCAGTGTGAAGAACATCAAGATATGCCATCCACAAGAGCCTAGCACTGCAAGGGCTTCCAAGTCCGACACGCTAGTCAGCAACAAGGTATTTCATTCATTCATCCATCCTAAACTGAACCATTAATTCAAGGCACCATATACAGCCATATATATACATATACAGGAGGTTCACTGACACTCTTTTTACCTTGTTTTTTTACACTATCTTATCCTTAAAAAAAAGATGCACGCACTTGTGGAGTACGAGACGTCACAGCAAGCCGAGAAAGCAGTGAGTGCCTAGTAATTAATTTCCAGGAACAGGAATAATCTAATTAATTTGATTACCTTTGATGTGTACCGTACCAGGTGGAGAAGCTGAATGACGAACGGAACTGGAGGAAAGGGCTCCGTGTCCGCACAGTGCTCAGGCGCTCGGTTTGTTTGATCCTCGAACTTCATTTCCTCTCCTTGAGTTCGTTATCTGCATCTGCATGCATTCAGTAACAATGCATGCATGTTTTTTATTTGCATTGCAGCCCAAGTCAGTGATGAGGCTGAAACGGGCAGATTTCGACCACTTTGTAGCCTCCGACGACGACTCGCCGCACTCCTCCCAGATGTCATCCGACTCCCCTACAGCAGACTACTCTTCACCTGCAGCTGCTGCTGCTGCCGAGGCGGCGGCGGCGGCAGCAGCTCATGGTCACGCTCACGTCCAGCAGCAGCAGCAGCATCAGGAGGATCAGCAGCAGAATGGTGGGGGCAAGCAGAAAGGGTGGGCTCGAGGACGAGGGACGACGAAGCTGCACATCACGGCGCCGCAGAGCCCGCAGTCGGCTCCCGCGGGCATGGCCGGCCACTTCGACCCGTCCAGCCCCCGCACCTCGTCGTCGTCGCAGAAGCAGTGCCCGTCCAGCCCCAGCAGCAGGCAGCAGGTGGCTGCTGCTGCCTCTGCCTCCTCCCAGAAGTGCCCCTTCAGCCCCAGGCATCAGCCTCATCCTCCCCAGGGCCCCAGGATGCCCGACGGCACGCGTGGCTTCACCATGGGCCGGGGCAAGCCGGCGGCAGCAGCACCAACGTCGCCGGCAGCAGCAGCTGCGCGAGCGACTCCTGCTCCTGTCCTTGTTTAGTTTCACCTCTCGCTTTTTCACTTCCTCCTATTTCTTTTTTTTTCTCTGCCAGTCTGTTTGGTTAATGCATCAACTCTGTATCTCTAAAGATACAAGCGGTTGAGCTTTTTTTTTTTGTTTTATTAAGGTTGTTTAAATAAAGTTGCCTGGCTGCTGCTGGCATACTGATGACGGGCTATAGATAGATAGAATAGAAAGGTGTTGCGACCATGAAAATATATTGCCTGGAACAGTGATCATCTTAATTATTATTTTAACAATAAAGAATTACCATTCCAGTGTTTCACTTCCAACAAGATAATTAACAGTGGTTGCACAGCAGTTTCATCAAGCATGGAGGTTAAACTTGCATTGCTTCACATATCATGTTTTGGGACCGAGTGCTGAGTGCATTGTTGACCCAAATGCGATGCTAGATCAGATATATTTAGCTTATTACTAATAATATGGTGCATGTCTGAACAAGAATTGCACTTTATCTTAGCTTTTCCCCTCTACTCAGCTTGTCAAAAGTCCAAGATTGCTACATATGAGCTTTTCTACTATTCATTGCTCGGAAAATGATTTGCTGCTCACCTAAGAAATTCTAAACAACCCCCTCCTCTAAGTGATAATGTCGCAAATTGCCTCCTAGGAAGGAAGGCCTCCTTAGCTTGATGATAATGGTTCCCGTGGTGTTGACTAACATTTATCTTAGGGTGTGTCTCCTGCGTAGTCGACTGATAGTTAGCAAACCATCCATCGTCTTCTCCCTACAGCGCCTTCTTCTCCCTCATCGGCGCCTTGCCTCCCCCACCCCCACCTCCTCCCCTGCCGCCCCTGGCCGCGGCTACCTCGCCGCCGGTCGGCCTGCGCACAGTCCACCCTCGCCTCATCGACCCCGCCCTCCCCTAAAAAGAAGGAAGTTCGCCAGATCTCCGCCATCTTCCTCGCCCCTACCCCCGCCCCCACCATATGCCTCGCCGCGCCACCCACAACTTGCAACCGCCCACCTTAACCCTAGGGCAGCATGCCGGCGAGCTCGCCGTGACGCCCCCGCCCCCTGGACGCCTCCGCCGCCGCCAGGCCCTTGACCGCCCAGTCGCCATCCCCACCGCCTGGCCGGCCTGCCTCCCCCTGAGCCCCTTCTTCTAAGCCCGTCGGAGTTGGAGATTTACTAATAACCCTAGCCGTCACCGCCGCTTCTTCTTCGTCTCCTGTAGCCGCCGCCGCCCCTTCTTCTCCGTCTCCGGTGGACGCGGGCATGGGCACGGGCGCGAATCGGATGGAGAAGACAGGTCCCTGACGGATTTGCAGCACAGCAGGTGACTACGAACGAGCAAATATGTTTATCTTATGACCACCTTTGACCTCCTGAAGTGGATAATTAAAGCCACTGATGGGAATCGTCGATGTTTTTTTTTGGAAACGTCAAGAACAAGCTAATAGAGGCAAATTGTCTCGTGTCTCGGCAAAGAGTTTAGAAACCTATGGAATATACATAATCTTGAGACCTTGGCGAGGGGGAAGGGCGCAATGCTTATTTGGTGGTTTTGAGCTCAAAAAACAGACCGAACAACACCTTGGACTGGACTCCAAACCAATGTCATAGCTGAAAGTACTGTTGGCTGATTTGTTGTGAGAGAAAAACATTGTTCGTTGGCTGAAAAAGTACGATTTATAAGCCAAACGAACAGGGCACAAGTTCCCAGAAATGTACGGATTCTGTTGCTGTAGATTTTCTATTTGACCTCGCTTCTAGTCACATCGGCGTGGTTAAGGACCTGTTTGGGACTGCTCTGCTCCATCTTTTGTAGCTCTGCTCCCAAACTTTCCTGCCAAACAGGTCCAACTCCACAAACTCTGCTCCCAAAAAAAGATGGAGTTTTGGTCCAACTCCATGTTTTTCACGGAGCTCCTCAGATGGTACTCCACAAACCAGCATTTCGTATGTCCTCGTGGAGTTGGAGGTAATTACCCGCAATTGCCACTCGTTACGCAAATACCGTTTCGTTTCTTTCTTTCTCTCCCGTTCTTCCCCGTCCCGACTCGCCTGCCCCAGATCTCCCTCACTTCTGATCGAGCCCGCGCTGCCCCATCGCGGCCTCCGCTCGGGAGATGCCCGTCACGCCGCCGGCCGCTCCGCCGCCCCTCTCTCCCACCCCAGATCTTTCCGCTCCTACATCTCCTCTGCGCTCCGGCCCGGCGGCGTCCACTCCGTCCCCCGACATGATGCCACGTGCTCCCTGACCCACCGGGCTATCGATATCTCCCTCTCTTGGTCCTGGCTCTCACTCGCTCCGCTGGATCTGTGAGGAGTGAGGAGGAGTGGTAGGGCGAATGGCAGCAGCAGTGCACAGTGGAGGAGGAGCGGCGGCGGCGCGCAGTGGAGAGGGCACGATGGCAGCGCGGAGCGTGGTCTGATCGTGGCGGAGATGGCTAAGGCGTGTTTAGATCCAGATCCACTATACCGTGGTGCGCCTCCGCGTCCGCATCTTCTACGAGTGTGTCATCAACTCCGTCGGACCCAAGGTGATTGATCCCTCATCTGTTTCTATGTGTTCTATGTTGTATGCTTGGATGAAAAGACCAATCTTTGTTTGGAGTGGTTGAGGGCAGCCTAAGGCTTTTGGTGGTTCTGTTCACACGAAAGATGAAAACCTGGTAGACAAAGTGTCAGAGCTTGATTAGTGTGCACAATGTCTAATGTTGTAGTTGTAGGCTGCTGCTTGTATTTTGGTGAACTACTCAGTGTGCAGTAGTCTCGTCCAGTCGGTCATGGTCTTCTTTTGTTACTGATATGAGGTTCACTTATGTGTCGACGGGACAGCCGGGCTCTATGCATGATACTAGTGTCCTGTACAATACAATTAGAGTGGGCGAGAGCTTTTTTCCACACCCTCCAAAAGGTATTAAAAATATGACCATGCACTTCTTTGTTTGATCAAATGCTTACAAATGTGATCTGATATTTTGTTTCTAATAATTATAGGCAAATATTATGTTGTCGATGCGGGATATCCTAATCGTCCAGGATACCTTTGTTCTTATAAAGGTGAGAGGTATCATATGCCGGAGTGGCATAAAGAAATGGAACCAAAGACTCCTAAAGAAAGGTTCATTCGTGAGCTTGGCGGTGAAGACTTGGACTTTGTTATCTTATTTATCATTAGTCATGTATGGACAATTATTTGTATCCGAAATATAAACTTTGTCAATTATCCATCAAGCGCTTTGAAATTTACGTGACAAAAGTATGGAATTATTTGGCCGAAATATTTGTTTTTTACTTTTCTCCAATAAATTAAATGAGATTATAATATTTACACCATATTTGAATTGGTAAAAAATATTTCAATTACACATGCTCTGCATACAACAGAACATACACCAAACATCGATCGGGGCATAGTAGACCTTTCCTATAGAAACCTCATGTTTCCAGAGCTGGAGCTAAACTGCGTGTCAAGCAGGTCCACTTGCTCCAGAAACTCCACAGTGGAGCTGCTCTGTGGTGGAGTTGGTGGAGCAGAGCTAGAAAATATGGAGCAGAGTAGTCCCAAACATGCCGTAAATAGTAGGATCATCGCCTGAGTTGGCTTCTAATTTGATCTACTCATCTACTTTGCGTAGCCACTAGCTATCTACATTTATCCTCACCGGCCTAGAGGGAAGTGCTCGTCGTTTCTTGACGGTATCTGTGGTACCTTTAAAAAAAAACAAGAGAGCTCATGGCATAATTAAGTAAACTAAGAAGCAAGAAAGTACTGAGGTGACCAAGATGCATACATGCAAATGCATGGGCATGATCTTAGATGTTCCTAAATCTGTCTGTATGTATATATACATTCGTCGATTCATATACTTAAACAAAACAGAATTACCACACGATACCTACATATGGGCTATTTGCATTGGCATAGCATTAGCTCCGAGATCTAAATTAGGTATGTAGTTTGTAGATTAAACTAATATGATTTAATTATTTGTGTCTAGTTCAAACTATAAACAAAACAAGCCACCTAAATGACCTTAATGTACCTCTTACTCTAGATTCAAGATTTCTTGAAGTTACAAATACATATTAGCTTGAAATACGTGGATTTTTATTGGTGGTGGGGGCTCAACTAAATAGGACTCTAGTATCCTACTCTACTTTCGCTCTTAGATAGTGTTTAGTTCGAGGGATTGGGACATCCAAGTGGGATGTCTCACTTTTGGGACGGTGTTTGGTTAGGACAAACATAGTTAAGAAATTTCTATTTGAGAATATACCCCAATATGTAGGATGACTCTATCTTCAGAAAATCGACAAACAAAGTCAGCCCAGGTGGGATAGACACCGCTTGGACACGTATGAGCAAGGAAGAAGGGGGCCGCGTGTGGGCTCCGGTCCCCGAATAAGGACCGTAAGCAGCGACGGACGACCAAGGACGACATGGGTCTAAGTAAGGCCTTGCACGCTAATTAAGCGGGTTCAAGGGCGGCGGACTGAGCTTGCTGGCGTGGGGCCAAGGTCCTAAGGTGGAGTTTCGCGAACGAGGATGAATCTGAGAAGAGGAGGAGGAAAAAATTATGTTGACATTATAGGCCTCATGTATCAACAAGAAATGAAACTACCCTATTCCTCAAAACATAGACTTGATGATCGACTCCACGTTATCTCTAATCAAACGCTAACTTAGGTTTCTCTCTGAGAGCAGCTCCCTGCGGATAGAGGGAACGGATGGAGACGCTCTGCCCTCCCCCGCTCGCCCCCTCCCCACTCAGCCCGCCCGCCGCCACCCCAGCACCGACGGCCACTGAGCCAACCCTCGTCTCCCCCAAAGGTAAGGGGCCGACCCCTCTCTCCCCCGACGCCATACCCTTCTTCCCCTCTGGGACTCTGGGACGCTCCAAGGCCATGCGGTGGTCTGAGGATTCCGACTTCTCCGACGATGACACCGAGGCAGATTCGGCGCCCCCGCCTCGGGGTTCCTACCGTGACGCCGTCCGCCGGGGATCTTCGGCACAGGGAGACA